GTCCTTGATTTAAAAGTATAAACTAGAAGGGGGTACAATGAAATTTCAGAATTAGGGAGAAATGTCATTGAATTTATACATAACTAAAAGAAGTGTGAATGAAATTTTCTCATTTATTTATTATCCCTCTCACGTGTTGGGCCTTTTTGTAGTTCCTCCACCCGAACTTTTGTGGCGTAATATGAATGAAGGTTTGATGTGATTTGAACTTACAACTTTTAAGTTTTGATACCATATTAAACTACACCTCATCTAAAAGTTCAAACTTGTACAAAGAAGTATAACACAAGTTGATGATGCACAAATCGGCTTTGCACAAAATCAACAGTTGAGTATATGAACGAGTGCAATCAATGAGCAATAAACATACAATTAATGATAAAACAATTAATAATGATAAACACAAAGATTTATAATGGTTCGCTTTGGGTGACCTACTCTATTATCGAAAATGGCAGCGGTGGCCGAAAATCTTCATTAACTAATAAGAGTTACCGGGAGAGTATTGCAGTGCTTTGGGAGAAAAAGAGAGCAATGTAGGGAGATGTCTAGAGGATTCAGAGTGATGCTCAGATGTCTCTCCTTTTAGAGAGAACTTACATTATATAGGTTTAGTAAGGCGGAGACGTGAGAGAGAGAGAACTTCTACTATTTTGGTAAGTACAATCAAATCAAGATTAGATCTTCATGCGTATCCTAATATTTCCTTCCTTGTGTTCCTATTCTTTCAGAGGAAGGTACTGAGCTGGGTTGAAGCTGATCCTGGGTTTGGACTTGAGTTAGAGTAATTCCAATGGTGTTGAGAAAAATTGATGAGGAGAGAGCGGAGGACGAAGGAGAGCCAGGGAGCCAGCCCATGGGTGACGCCTCTTTGGGGACCCTTGGGCGGTGCCCCCCCTTTTGGGGATCCTTGGGTGCTAGCCTCTCGGTTTCTTTGGGCGACGGTTCCTTCTTGGTGCTAGTTTGGGGTTTATTTTTATCGGGTCTGACCCAGTTAAATGCGGGATCATCACAAGTATCAATTAATTTGTTGTTTGACATCAATTAATTCAGTAATCGAGGTATCATAGGGATTTTGAAGTATAAATAATGCGTTGGATGATACTGAGAAATAAGTGGTTGAAAATCCTAAATTGTAACCAAAGTTTTAGGAAGTATTAGTAAGAGGGGTAGGGATCCTCTATTATATAACATCAGTGCCATTTCTCTAAATGATGTCGTGTCACATACAAAACAATGTTGTTTTGTGCGTGAAACATACACCAATCAGAGGAACATCTCCTCTGTGAATAATATAATAAAGTAGAGTAGTTGTCCATCATTTTATGTGTGAAACAAACGTCAATCAGAAGAACAACTCCTCTGTAAATAATATAGTTGTAACCCTACTAAGAGTCCTCTCCCATTGAGTTCTCGGATCAGTCATCATTCTTGGTTTATCTTGGATGTTAACACGGACAAGATGCGATGGACTTTAACCATATAATGGGTTAAAGTTGTACGATTATATTGAAATTTAGGTAAATAAACATGTCCACAAAAATAGATATGTACTCAATCATAGACTCGACAAAACTATAGAAATTGGATTAAATCAGTGTGGACATGATGACATATTAGAAGAAATGACTGGCCACGGTGAACTTACTTGTTAATAGTTAGTGGTCACTACAGACCCAATTAGTCAAAGGTTTGGGTGATCAAGAACACTGCTGACATGCCTTCTACCTCGTGGGACCAGAGACAAAACCCCATGTGTTTCGTGTTGAAACGAGATTTTGTACAAGGAAATGATAAACATGCCCCGTTTGGATTATTTTACGCGTAACATGGGCCATGGTGAAGCTCCGCCACTGATGACACCAGGGCATTGTCTCACCAATCATATCCTCTCATAGTCAGGGTTCCATTATAATACCAAAAAATTCAGGGCCGGCCTTAGGCTAGGCGATCGAAGCGGTCGCCTGGGACCATATTTTTGGGTCTCAATATTTTTTCTTATAATATTTGGATTTATTTAATTTTATTTTTTTTAAAAAAAATTTAGATTCATGTTTAATTATGTTTAGAGTTGTTTTTAAGGTCCTGAATAAAACTTTTAGATCAATGTTCAATCAAACCAATTTTGTTTTTTAGGACCCAAAAATTTTATTATAATTGCAGGTTTATAAATTCAAGTTTTACTTTTACGAGTTTTATACTAAAATAAGTTTTATTATATTAATAATAATATTATTCATGTCTCGGAACCTACCATGTATAACAAAACTATGCAATTGTTTCTTTTGTATATTACTTCCAACTATTTTGATCAACTTGAAAATTATGTATTTTGATTTTTTTTTTTTTTAAGAATTTGATGGTTTTTTGATAAGTTAAATTTATTTAAATTTACATTGAATTTGTTAATAGCCTTTTTTGGTTGTTATGACAGCGTAAACATCACTAAAGTTTCTAATATTCAATGAATTTTATAAATCTAAATGATATGCTAAAAAAATTAAATACAAAAATTTAAATAGTGAGTTGCATCTCAAATAACAAGAAATTAATTTTTCAATAAATACATTTCAATATTTAAATAAAAAAAAATATATATTATATATTATCATAATAATCATAATTAATGGGATCTCATTCAGAAATTAACCCCTCCGTTTGGCTCGGTCAACCTTACCGAAAAATAATGTTTTAGTATCATATTTCTTTCTTTTTTAAAAAAAAAAATCAAGCAACAAGTGACACACATGATTATTTTTTACTTTATTGGTTTACTTGAAACAAAAAACTTAAACTAAGATTTGCGATTAAAAATTATTTTTTTAGTATAATATCAAAAAATTAAAAATTTCATTACCGTATAATTTGTTAGTGGCTTACATTCGTTTCTCACTTACACACTTTGCATAAACTCACCAGTTCTAGGGTAGTGTAGGGCCTAAAATGATGAATTATGAAAAGAAAAAAATAAAGGTATTGTGGGGCTTGTATGTCGGAGGTTTGGAACTTGGGAGTTAGATTGGATTGGCAGAGTCTAATGAGATTCAGTCCACTCATTTCTGCCCTTGCGTGTTTGTTCCAATCCCAAGTCCTATGTACCTAGAGAGGGGGCGGATTCAGAAATTCACCGTATATTGTAAAAAGAATTTGAACCACATACTTCTTTATATACCAATTCATTCCACGATTCAAGTAATATTGATCTAAACCCTAAAATTCATTACGAAAAATCATAAGTCCAATAATCCAAACATGCCCTAATTGCTAGTACTATTGTAAACCTGGCATTGTAAAACACCTTTCGATAACGTTTGTAGTTTTTTATTTTCTAAAAAACAAAAAACAGAACCAATTTTAAATTTTGTTAGCAAAATATTAAAATAAAAAATGTGTTTGGTTGCTTTTATAATTGTAAAGAAATTTCAAAACCAAAATAAAAAACTCGTTTAGTTGTGACATTTTTAATTTTTTTTCTTTTGTGACTAGCTTGTATAAACATAATTCCATGATATTAAAAAATTAGAACAACAATTCATAACTGATCCCATAATTTTCAAATATATTGCAAATATATCCCCTAATTTTCAAACGTTCCATATAAATATCTCATACTTCATAGTTATATTAATACTAATAACACTACACTAAAGTTAACACCACCAACAACAAAAATCATAGTTCATCAACACAATAACAAAAATGTCTATCAATGGCCATATAGTCTTGCCCACAATTCATCAGCAATGTCATCCCTCACACAAGCCATCTGGCGAAGCTGGTTTGGACTGATATCTACTTCAATTGAATTTTGTGAAATCGATCTCTAATTGTTAGTATAATTCCTATTTTCCATAAAGTAAATAACAAAATCAACATAAAAACATAACAGCTAAAAAAAAAAAAAATCAACAGCTATATAGCAAAAAAAAAATAAAAATCCAGCAACTATATAGCGGAAAAACAAAATCAGAAATAGATAGTAAAAAAAATTCAGCAGCTATAGTGCAAAAAAAAAAAAAAAATCTACAATACAACTATATAGCAAAAAATAAAATAAAAAATAATCAACTATATAGAGAAAAAAAAGAAGAAGACCTACAACCATATTCTAGATTAGATCTATAACCATATTCTAGATCAAATTTATAATAACCATAAACAATAACAGATGAAGATAGTTCAGGTTTGCTTTGATGGAGATATACATTCACCGATGAAGATTGGAGCAACTATCAATGTCTTCATTGGGCTGAGAGAGAGGAGGGTGGGGGGGGGGGGTTTGGNGGGGGGGGGGGGGGGGGGGGGGGGGGGGGGGGGGGGGGGTTTGGCGATGAAGAGGCGATGCGAAAGGTTTGAGGGGTTAGGGTTTCAGAGATCTTATCTTATTGCTATTTATATTGGTGCCTAATAAATGTGTCTTTTTGGTGTTAACAACATTCGGTTCCTTGACCTCATTAATAACAAATTTGCGCTAAATGTTTTTTGTTTTTTTGAAAACGTCTTTTTTTTTTCATTTTTAAAAATCGTCCATCGTTTATAAAACGATGGTAGAAAAAAAAAACGGTTATCAAACGAATTTTTTTTTTCTTTTTTTCTCCAAATATCAAAATAAAAACGAAAAACGAAAAACATAAACGCTTAAATGAGGCCTAAAAATCACAAACACCACAAGAATATGATGTATTCACCTTTAACATCAATACTTCTCATATACTCTTGAACATGTATTCAATGCTCTTTTTTTGTGTCTCTAATTAAATGACGAAGTTTTAATTTCAAAAACGTGTTTGACACTTAATTAGAAATGCATTCAATGCATCTTTACGTCATGTTTGTAAATTATAGACAAAACTTTAAAAAATTCAAGTAAGATGCAATTGGGGCTTCTTTATAAATTATAAATCTACTTTAGCACGATCTGAGAGTACACAATTCAGTAATATTGTGTCTATAAATACATCAGTCTTCACTCTTCTCTTATGTTGGGCTGCAACTATGGTTCACCGGAGCCACCATGAATCCCGGTCACTCGACTGGAAAGAAGTGAACTTGGTCAGCAATTTCACTTCCTCTACGAGCTCAGCCACTCGTCCTGGCGGTGCTAAAGAACCCCGGCACAACGGACAGGTTGAATTCCGATATCCAATCCATCGGTCTAAACAGACTTTATGAAAAAGATGATCACATTTCAGCTCTCTAATTTTGTCGCCTTCTTCAACTTTACACAGACACATTGCACACTCTACCGCTTCCCCGGACTCATCCTTGCTCTTATAATGGCTTATGCTGCTAATTTCTTCGTCATTCTCTTTCTGATCATAAGAAAAATTGAAGCTCCGAAGCGAAAAATTCAATCCCAATTCCAAACGGGTAGTGATTAGAATGATGTAATTCCTCATGACAGACTGAAAATTAAACTTGGAAATTAAAATGTAGTGAACAAAGAAAGAGAGAAGGAAAAGGAGGAAGAGAATGTGAGGTGAAAAAACTGCAAGAAAGCACATGGTTTCTGGTTTGATGAGGTGCAGTAGTTAGTTGGTAGTCCAATATATAGACATTAGAACATGAAGCAATTCAATCATGAAGCAATTCAATCATTCGTACAAGTCATGATCTTTTTAGTATATGCTTATTATTAGCCTTCAGGCCAACACCGGTCAATGTGTGGGTGAATTTAAGGGTTTTTATCAGAACCGGACCGTGAATCGGGATCCTAACCGATTTGATTCCTTAGTTGAACTACTTAAGAAAGTGAACTAGTTAAAAACTGAAAAATCGGCCAATTTTTAACAAAAATCGGTTTTTAAAAATTAAATTACATAAATAAATTTTTTTGTCCTAAATCAATAAATAGTTGATTTTTTTTAACCTTATTCTTGGAAAAATTATAAATGACACCCCTTCTTTTTCTTTATAATTTACTTGAACTTCTTTACTTTACTTTAAAATACAATAACCCCACTTTGTTACTTAATTTCATTAATTTTATGACAAATTTTATGTATTTTATACATATTTTATATTTTTTAGCTAAATTATTAAGTTTTATAATTATTATATATATATTTTTTATTTTTTTATTATATGACCGATACGACCAATTGATCTAACAGTTAAACCAGTGAACTATTGACTCGGTCTTCTTATTGGTTCGATGACCGGTCCGGTTCGATGACCGGTCTGTCTGGTTCTGATAACATTGGTTATCCTAGTGCATGACAGTTGCGTTTTTGAATGTTTCAGGTTTCTTCCAGGAGAGTGAAACCTTGGAAAACGACATAGACAATATTTTTGATTGGACATTATACGAATTCAATGTGGACCTAATAGATTTATGGGACTTGCCTTGAGTATGGAAGAAAAATTTTCGGTATCAGATCTCTAACTTTTACTATTTTAATAGGTAAATTTATAATTTTTGTGGATTATTTTACTATAAAAAAATTTATCACTTTTGTGAATATTTTTACTAATATTGTAATAACTATTTTTATCATTTTTTTTTTGGTATATAAAAATTATCACTTTTGTAGGTGATTTATCATATTTGTGAGTATTTTTATCATATTTGTGTTAACTATTTTTACAATTTTTTTGAATATTATAACAATGGTAAAAATATCCACAAATATGATAAAAACAATTACAAATGTGTTAAAATTGTACCGTAGTGAACTCTTAGATTTATGGATATGAATTCTGAAATGATATACAATAATGTTATGATTATCAAGTTTTTCATTCCAAGTAATGTTACATAATTTTCATCATTAAATATTAATGACACTCACTTATTTGATTGTAAAAACTGTGTCACATCATTTAAAGTAAAAAATTTGGTAAGAAATATTGATCAACATAGCATTGTTGAATGATATATATGCCGACACAAAAGATAAAAGTGTGAGGTTTTTTCAAACAATAATAACTCACTCGCTTTAACTATGGCCAAAAAAAAAATATCGGTATTGCACCACTTATTATTTTTTTGGTATTTATACCATCTTTTGGGTGAAACCTATTATTTTTTGGAATTATTTACCACCATTTGATTTATCATCACGTTTTGGGGTAAAATTTGTCACTTTTTAAGTGATGAACTTATCATTTTTTAAGGGTTTTTTTTTTTTTTTAACAAAACCAAAAATGGGAAGAAGTGTTACCATAGCTTTCTAACTCAATTTACCATTGATTAATTTTGGATATAAAACCGAAAATGATATGATTTAGGACTAAATATATTAATAGTGGTAAGTTTAATTGGAGACAATAAAACGACATAGATTCATCAAAAAATTAACTTGTTATGATTGATTAGTTTTCGATACATATGAACCTTAAAAAAGAGCTCCTTCTTAGCATGAATAACAAATGTAATGACATTTATCTTGATACAACCAGCTCGTATAACCAAAGTAATCTGAAAAAAAGTAAGTTTTTTTAATGTTTTGAATAAGAATTCTATGAATTCTTCTAGAATTATATGATTTTCCATTTGATTATATGCTATTATCAAGATTAGTGAATTTTTATTTTTAATGGGCAAATTGGTCGTAGGTTCTGCTGAGCAAGAAAGGGATCTAAATACTAGATTTCTAATTTACAAGTTATGCAGGTGACTCACATAACTAATAAACAGGTTTTATTAATGTCAACCTATTTAACATGATTAATTAAATAGAATAAATTTAAATTGATTGTTACTCAAAAAAAAAATAAAAATTGAGGGGTTTAATTATTATATATCTACAAACTTTAAGGGATTTATATGTAATTTATTAACAGATATACTAAAGGACATTGATGGCAGAGGTTTAAGTGTCACGCACGTACAAATCTCAAAGAGTTTGTATATAATATTTCAAATGTCAAGAGATCTGAGTGATTAAGTGACAAATCTTAGGTGATCTAAGTGTAATTCTCCCCAAAAAAATAATATTTTTACCATAAATCTAATCTTCTGCCATGTCTTCCATTCTCATTCATATCATATTCAACGTTTGTTGGGGCACCATATGTTTTAGAGGAATACTTGAGCATGGTGCCAAAAATTATAATTTTTTAAGGTTTAGTTACACTTTTTTGAAGTGTATATTATGATTGATCCCGAAAGGCTACGAATGATTGACAACATTCTCCAAGGGTCATGGGGTCTTTTACAAGTGGTGAGGTGATATTCTTGAGGTGAAAATTTACTGATTAAGGTAGAATTAGCTTGTTGAACTCTCCTTCTTTTCCTCGCTGCATGTCTTGAGCTGTAGCAATTATGGCCGAGCTGTATAGCTTTTCCCAAGTGATCTGAGGATTTATATTCTCGTGTTGGATGGCCCTGATATATCGAGCTGCTGTGTGTTTAATCTGATCTGTGGTGACGCAACAGTTATTCAAAACCAGTTGGAGATGCCAAATTTACTTCTTTGACTAGGACAATGAGTTAGCTTTTTCCCATGTATTTTGGAAACATAGAAGAGTCCGAACGACTAACGAGTTAGTTTTCTTGAAGTGATAGCTCTTGTCCTTCAGCCCCAAGTCTAAGGCTGCCACGTCCAGTGTTGTTGAGATAATCCCACACGTTTCTTTATGAAAAGGAAAACTAACAACAACCATGTGTGTATTACCACACTGTTATTGATGATCTTATTACATTGTGGCTGTTTGTTTTGACACACGAAGATCACCCATGTTTACACTGTGAGAGATCAGTTCACAAAATCCTGTAATTAAATCACGGGATCTTAATTTAATCCAACCCAAAACTAAACACTTCCAAAAACAATGACTAGGAAAAACTTGTATATCTCTCTCTTCTGTATGTATTATTAACATTTCAATTTAATGGGTTGTGCCCTAAGATGGACGACATAATAACAGAAAAGGACCACCACGTTTATCAGTCTGAAGACAAGATTTTCACCGTATATGAAAACATGACTATTTTGATCTTTTTAACCAGACAAAACCTCTCTCTCATGTATCAAAATCACGTCTCTAATAATGTTAAAAATGAGGAAGACTAGGGTGGATGCTGACATTTACAAATTTTCAAATCAGTTATATATTTTTGGCAATAGAAGTTATAATCAAAAAAAATCATGAAAGTTACATCTGATCAAGGGTATTCATGATGTCATAATGACGATGGATATTCTTGATTAATTATAACTCTATTTTTTTTGATATGAGAGCTTCCACTTTGACACTCATATGTAGGTTGTTTTTACCAAATTTTGATGAAGAAACATGATCGAAGGTTGAACACAGAAAGATGAGAGATGAGAGACGACTGAGAGATGGTTGAGAGAATGCAGCAGTGACGCAAATGGAAAAATAACCCTAGTTGGCTAACTCTTTCTTTTTATATATAAGTATATGTATTTCGGGTTGAGCCCGAGTACTATTTTCAAGTTGAACCCGATTTTATTAATTCGAGATGAGTTCGGGTTGAACTCGCAAACTCGATGTCTTCACTCAGTACTGTTCGAATTTAATTCGAGTTAGAGTTTTTTTGCCCTGATCCAACACAAATTTTAAAAATATCAATTCAAACCCTGAATTTTTCGAGTTAGGCCGCCCAAATTGCACCCTTACTTTTGCAAAAGCATGGGAGTTTGTAGTAACACATGCTGATGCCCATGATTCTCTTTCTCTCTCCCCCCACCCCACCCAAAAAAAAAAAAAAAGCTACCCATAGTCAACTGTTGCAACATGTAAAATGCGTTTTTAGTAAACACGCTTTTTAAGTATTAAGTTCATAATAATGCTACAGTATTTACCACGTTTTTTATTTAAAAGTAAGGTTGTTAACTACGTTTTTTTAATAAAAGCAAAATTGTTGATTCCAATTTGAAAAAGTGTTGTAATTGAGTAAATAAAATCAAAAGTGTCATATTTTTAATAAATTTGTTTCAAAAATGCCTTAAATTGATAAATAACTCAATTTGGGAGTGTTAGGGCTTTGCATAAACTAACACTTTTGAGAATTTGTTTTTATATGATTGGATAATAGAGGGTCTTTCTAGGATTATTATCATTGAACCTTGAAAACAAAGATGATATGAGGAGTTGTTGAAAGACGATATTGTTCCAAGCATTGTGACTTTAGGAAAAAGTAGTGATTGGATTAGTGATTGTTGTGAAAAGATAAGTACCTGTTTGGAAGGTTCATGACAGGTTGGGAAAAAAAGGTTTTTAAGTTTCAAAAAAAATAATAGATTTCATTGAAATTTTTTAACTTCACTAATTGCAATTCTTCACTAAATGGGGTTTGCCTATGCTAATGATTTTTAAAAAATGACAACAATTAATTAAAAATGAATAAAAGGTAATTTTGTCATTTTCACAAAATATATAGTCAAATCATTACTTTATCTACTAGCGGAGGCAAAGGTTATTGTTAAGAGAGTGTCATTGATTGAAAGTGTAATCAGAATGATATAAATTGAAGTTTTAGAATTTAGACCTAATTACAGGGGCTATAGATAAATTTTTTTTCTATATATAATGGGGAGATGTTTGAGGACATTTTAGTCTATTTACATTACAAAAGATAATTTTGATATTTTCAGAAAATATATATTCAAATCGTTACTTTATGTATTGACAGAGTCAAAAGTTATTGTTAATGAGATTTCTTTGATTTGAAAATATAAATCAGAAGCGAGAACAATGAAGTTTTAAAATCAGGAGGAGGTGTCATTAAATTTATACCTAATTAGAAAGGGTGTGGATGAAATTTTCTCATTTATTTATTATCCCTCTCACATGTTGGCCTTTTTGGTAGTTCCGCCGCCCGAACTTTTGTGGCGTAATAGGAGGGAAGGTTTGGTGTGATTTGAATTTAGAACTTTTAAACTTTGATACCATGTTAAACTACTTCTCCTCTAAAAGTTTAAACTTGTAGAGAGAAGTATAACACAAGTATTTATCAATTAATTTGTTGTTTGACATCAATTAATTCAGTAATTGAGGTATCATAGGGATTTTGAAGTATAAATAATGCGTTGGATGATGATGAGAAGTAAGGGGTTGGAAATCCTGAGCTGCAACCAAAGTTTTAGGAAGTATTAGTAGGAGGGGTAGGGATCCTCTATTGTATAGCATCAATGCCATTTCTCTAAATGATGTCGTTTCACATATATAAGGACGTCATTTTGTTTGTGAAACATACACTAATCAGAGGAACAACTCCTCTGTGAAAGGCAGAGTAGTTGTCCATCATTTTATGTGTGAAACAAACGTCAATCAGAATAACAACTCATCTGTAAATCGTAGAGTTTTTGTAACTAGTAAGAGTCCTCTTTCACTGTCTTCTCGAATCGGTTATCATTCTTGGTTTATCTTGGATGGTAACACGGGCGAGATGGGATTAGATTGAAATTTAGGTAAATAAACATGTCCACAAAAATAGATATTCACTCAATCATAGACTCGACGAAACTATAGAAATTGGATTAATTCAGTGTGGACATGACATATTAGAAGAAATGACTGGCCACGGTGAACTTACTTGTTAACATTTAGTGGTCACTACAGACCCAATTAGTCAAAGATTTGGGTGGTCAAGAACACTGTTGACATGCCTTCTGTGGTACCCCTACGTCAAGGGACCAGAGACAAAACCCCATGTGTTTCGTGTTGAAACTAGATTTTGTACGAGGAAATGATGAACATGCCCCGGTTGGATTATTTTACCTGTAACATGACTCTTTTATCCTTACATCACATTTCGGGACAGAACTAAGATTTTATCTTTGGGAGGCTAAATATTAGGTGCAAAAATTTTGGCCAGCAGAAATTTAAATTTATATCAAATAAGATAATATAGTCACTACAAATTAAGTCACTGATAAAAAAAATAAAACAAACAAAAGTAATATTTTTTAATAGATATTTACTCAATTATCTATCAAAATGGTGCTCGAGGTTATTTTTTATCACGGAATTCATCTATGATTAAATTTGTACTAATTTTTTAGCAATCTCTTTTTCTATATGTAAAGAAAATTTCTATTTGAGGCTTACCGAAAAAAGATTGGGGGCATTTCTACACTAGCAGACTTCTAAGAGGACTAAGATACTACTACTCTATGGGTTCTAAAAATTTAGAAGGGAGGGGGCGGGGGGGGGATGGTCCCCTTGGGCCATGGTGAAGCTCCGCCACTATGACACGAGAGCATTGTCTCACCAATCATGTCTCATAGACAGGGTTCAATCATGATATCAAAAAATTCAGTGCTGGACCTTAGGCTAGGCAATCAAGCCCTCGCCTGGGGCCTCATATTTTTTGGAGGGAGGAGACTATGGCATATCCAAGGAGATTTATGGTACCGTACCGAAAATTTTTGGCGGCTAAATGTTGAAAAAAATATTGTACAATGATGTAGAATATGGACATGTGTAAAGACAAAGTAAGACAACTGAATTGACCTGTTGCCACTTATAATGTACAATAATGATATATGAATGAGTGAGTTACAAAGAGTAGGAAATATTTACAATATTACTTGCAAGATTTACAACAATAATGAATACAATAACAAAGCTAATGGTATTCATACAAAGTTAGTGGAACCAAGTACAAGGGTAATGGTGTATTTACAACATCAGGAAGAAATATAAAAAAGTAACGAGATAGGTACAAAAGTAAAGATATATTTATTACATAAGTGGAAAAATTGCGCATAGTCAATGTAATGGATGATCGAACAATGTAGTATATGATCGATCATACAATATTGATCGATCGAATAAATGTATGATCGATCATTATGTTGAAAGGTGTTGTGTAAGAAAATGAAATTTTGGAAATAAATAAATAAATATATAATTTGACCGATCACGAATTTGATGATCGATCATAGTGCCTCAATAAGGTGTTTTTGCAAAATTATTGTGACGTTAACAATATTATTAAGTAAAAGTACAAAATTAATGGTATAATTACAACAAGATTGAGAAATTTTTAAATTGAGCGAAACCAATTACAAATTTAATGGAGTATTTACTATTTCAGTAAGAAATGTAAAATAGTAATTGGGATAGGTACAAATGTAAAGATATATTTACAAGCATAGTGCATAAATTTACGAGAATATTATAGTCAATGTAATGGATTGATCAATGTAATATATGATCGATCATTGTATATTGATCGATCGAATAAACATATGATCGATCAATATGTAGTAAGAAGTGGTGTAAGAAAAAGAAATTTTTGGAATATATATATATATATATATATATATATATATAATTTGATCGATCGCGAATATGAATGATCGATCCTATTTGGCTCAATAAGGTGTTTTTACAAAATCATTGTGAGGTTAATGATATTAATGGGCAAATTAGAAAATAAATGGTATAGTTAAAACAAGAGTGAGAAATTTTGAAAATCAGTGGAACAAACTACAAAGGCAATGGAGTTTTTACTATATCAGTAAGAAATGTACAAAAGTAATTGGGATAGGTACAACATTAAAGATGTATTTACAACCATATTGGATACATTTACGAGGATAATATATTTGTAGTCAACGTAATAGATCAGTCAGCGTAATATATGATCGATCATTACATATTGATCGATTGAATAAATATATGATCGATCAGTATGTGATAAGGTGTAGTGAAAAAAGGAAAAAGAAAAGTATTGAATTTAATCGATCAAGCGTATATGGTGATCGATCATATTGGGATAGGTCTGTGGTTTGAATTAGAAGTAATAAAAGTACTATGTGGGTCTGATCGATCGTGTAAAAATATGATAGATCAGTAAGTAATAAGTGTATTTGTTCGATCAACAAATACATATTGATCGATTATATTGTTGCAGAATTGAGAAGTGAATCAGAAGTAATAAAAGTACTGGAGAGAGAGGATCGATCGTTAAAAAATTTGATGGATCTAATTAGTAAGTAAATTAGATCGATCATGATATTGTAGATTTGTATTGTGAATCAAAAGTAAAAGTACTAGGGAGATTTGATCGATCTAAACCATATTTGATCGATCAAATTATTGCAAATTGTTAAGGTGAATCAGAAGTAAAAATACTGGGGAGATTTGATCAATCTAAACCATATTAGATCAATCAAATTGTTGTAGATTTTTAAGGTGAATTAGAAGTAAAAGTACTAGGGAGATTTGATTGACCTAAACCGTATTTGATTGATCAAATGGTTGCAAATTGTTAAGGTGAATCAGAAGTAAAAGTACTGGTGATATTTGATCGATCAAATTGTTGTAGTTTTCTGATGTGAATCAGAAGTAAAAAGGATACTGGGGAGATTTGATCGATCGTGTAAACAATATGATAGATCAGTAAGTAGTAAGTTAATTCGATCGATCAAAATTTTATAGTGATCGATCACATTGTTGTAGATCATAAATACTGGGGACATATGATCGATCAATTATGTATAATGATCGATTATGGAGTTACAAGTGAGATTATGATCGATCGAAAATAAATATGATAGATCAGGTATAATGTATTTACTTAAATTCCCACAAAGAGTAATAAATTTAAGTGTTCTAAGGGGGGGTTTGCAGTAAATAAACATCGGATGATACCAAATAAATCCCCAAATCCTACAAAATTACCCTAAATTGCTCGCGCCTACAAAACCCATCCCAAATCCATTCAAAATCTGACAAAATCCATTCATAATCCATTTCAAATCCTAAAAAACCCATACAAAATATCCCAATTCCATAAACCCTAAATCGCCAACCACCCTAAATCTCTTCCATCGATCGATCGGGTACACAACTGGAATCGCTTATAGAAACTACTTCCATTGTGAATCTTCATTCGGAGAAGAGTGAAATTTCCATCATGAATGTTCGTTTTTCATCTTTGTTGAAGAAGAGTAAAATTTCCAATTGGAGCTTTGGTGATGACGGGCGCAGAGACAAAGAAACAGAAGAAGGTGACTAGCAGGGGGAGTTCTGGCAATGCAAAACTATTTCTGGATAAAGATGCTAAGAAGAGGTATGATACATTTATTGTTAAATGTCTTCTGTTAATTGAGCGTGGTGTTTACCTTGATGAGTTAGTGGGCAGTGTGGATTGCCCTGAAATACTTCGACGTCGAAAATGGGAAACTCTGTTTGATGTGAGTGTGGAAGATAAAACATATGTGTATCTGGTGAAAATTTTTTATGCAAATGTTCATGAGTACAAAGAGAATGAGCTGACATTCAATTCATTGGTTAGGAAAATATCCATCACTATTTTGCCTGATCTTATTTCAAATATATTAAAAATTGATAGACCAGACATTCCTGAGAATGCCATTGTCTTTCCATATTCAAGTAAGGAGCAGGTTCCTGATATGATGACGGTTATTCGAGGTATTTGTATTGGGAGTGTCCCGTGGGAGAATGAGAAAAACAAAATTGCTCACATTGACCTTACTCCAACATATAGGATTTTAAACTGAATTGTTGCCTGTAATATACATCCTAGGAGGTATATTGCTGAGCTTGGATACGATACGACATAACTATTATATGCTATTGGTGAACATGAGGTTATTATTGATCTACCCCTTTACATATTCAAGCATGTTCGCGAAGTATTGTCGAGGATTGCAGGCCATGTCTTCCATTTCTAATATTAATTTCCAAGATTTTGAAGCATAGTGAGGTTGAATTTCAACATAATGACAGTTTTATGTACCCCATGAATGCAATGGGTATGGGTACATTTAATAAAAGTGTGGAAGCTATTCTTGGTGTGAAACGGGTCAAGCGTGTGAAGCAACCATCAGTGGTGTCTCAGGTTGTGAGTAGTCAAGCTGGGGCTAGTCAAGGTGGTTCTGATGTTGGTACTAGTGAGGGTGGACAAACACTTCAGCAAATGGTTGAAAAATTGGAGGCCCGATTTGAAAAGTTCGAGGATGAAATGAAGGGTTCGTTACAGCGTCTGGAGTCAAAATTAGATTGTTTTTATAAGGTCATTAACGAGTCCATCAACAAATGACACATTGATTTTGTGTTTTTTAGGTGAATCTTTTGTTGTATAGTAATATTTGGCATTTTGGCAAGGGTGTTGTAGATGTTGGGTGGATGGTTGTTAAATATATTGGCTAGTAGTTAGAAACAAATTGATGTTTGATGATTTTTGAGTTTTGTTGCGGTGAATGTGAGGTTTGTGTGTTCTTTCATGTTGACTTGATTTAACAATGAAGTAGTCAGATTCTTTGGTGGTTGTTAATACCATTACAGTGGTGATGAGGTGTCCAAATTAAGCAGCTTCTTAGTGGATTAAATTTCCAGTTGCTACATGTTTATAAGGAGGTAAACTTTGTGGCTGATGGTCTTGCTAACAAGGTAGTACAGGATGGTGTTTCCTCTGTGTTTGGTTTGAACAATCAATTACTAGGTGCTATAAATTTGAAAATGTTGCCGGATCAAAGATGCTTACTTGTCCTACATTCCAAGACTGTGTTGGTGGTTGATGATGGGAGTTAAGAGGAATAAGGGGAAGCCTTGTGCAGTTTTGGGAAGATGTGAGGCATTGCCAATCCTATTAGTATACTTGGATTTTGAGGAATTGTAATTTTTAGTTGATTTACAATATGTAGATGGTTTTTTTTGTCTTGAAGGATTAAAGCCGACTGTGGCTTATCCTATTTGCTTCTTGTAAATCCTTTTGGTTGATCAATAAAATTACTCTTTCCTTCAAAAAAAAAATAAAGTAATTCAAAGGATGCAGATAAATTGTACATATGCATATTAGGTGGGATTAATTGTAACAACATAATTACATGTTTAGGCATGCTTCCTTCATTTTGCCATTGTCATGTATACAGGAAAGACAGTGTAGTGAAATTGAACGTTCCATACAACTTAAGAAAGCTGCATTGTGTGGTCAGCTGCTGTAAAGCAAAAGGGTGATTATTTCAGAATATTTCAGTGGCCAGATGTGTACACGTTAACACTGCAAGAGGTATTCAGTGCAGTATGCTAATAAAATCGTGGAATAGTTTGTACCAAATAACTGAAGGGAATGACAAAGCACATGTAGTCGTACTCACCTCCAAAATGTTTAAAGAAGTATTAATCTACTGCTTGTGCACAATTGAATCAAAAAAGACATTTTTTTTTAATCAAAAGGGAATTTTATTTATTCATAATGCAAAATATTTACAAGAAACAAAGGAAAAAGCATAGACGCCCATCCATAACCAGTAAAAGCCAAAAGTAACAATGCAACGCCAAAAATACACAACATCAAACTCTAAAGTTTCTGCAAATATCCCCATCACAGTCCAAATCCATAAGCACATATGAACAATAAAGAGGTTTTTATCTTTTCCCCTTGTTTCAAACAAATCAACACTTAATCATCCAAGACAAAAAGCTCCAGCAGCAGTTCCTATTACCCCTTATCATTGAAGACCACCCTCTTTCTTTTTCGCAAAACGGGGAGACTCTATTGATTAGATGACAGTGCCAAGCTAACATCACAAGGCAATGTCAAACCCATTGAAAAATCAACCAAATTCCTACTCTTTACCGCCTGCCCAGCAAGACTATCAGCCACAACATTCACCTCACAAAATATATGCACCAAGCTATAATTTAGACCCCTCAAGAAGCCACTGATCTGTCTCAAATAGCTCAAAGATGTCCAAGGACAGTCACAAATACCCAGAACAACATTCACCAAAATCAATGAATCACATTCAATTTCAAACATGAAACAAGTCAAACCATATGCCAAAACAAGCTTCAATCCATTGCACAATGCTCTAAATTCCGTAATCATGATAAAGCACTTCCCATAAAAAAAAAAAGAGGCAGCCACAACAATGCCACCGCATTCAATACGCACCACAGCTCCTCCCCCTGCAATCCCTTGGGTTTTTCTTGGAAGCCCCATCTATATTAAGCTTCAATGATCCAACACCTGGGCTCCTCCATTGTACCCATCTGCATTTAACTTTCACCTTACGAGAAAGGTCAATCTGCAAAGCACTCAAGAATTCTTTTCCATTCTCATCACCCAATGCCCCTTAACAGCCTTTCTCTTTCCCTCAACAGCCCATCACAAATTGGCTTTCTGCCTCCAGTATATCTCTTCATGCCCCAATGTTTCATCCAACTCACCCTGTACTCTTGCCAGTATATCACTTGCTGTTAAAAACAATAAAAAATTGATATCGAAACCATGTTGGTATGTACTAAAATTTTCAAAGTAATTAAAAGGTGATAACGTATGAAATTTGATATCAGAGGACATTGTAATTGTAAGTTGGATTCCAATGGTCGTCTTCTTGAGTTGATGGCATGGGATATTGGGAGCCACCAGTTTGTGAGAAGGGCATGTCATCATGTAGTTTGTTCGTATTGCACGTAAGCTGCGACCACTTACGAATAGTATGTCCAGTGCCACGACATTTACTACATCGTTGCAGAGCTATTGGTAGGTTCTTCCTTACACGGCCCTGATTGCCTTTAGTTGTCACAATCTTGGGATCGACGACACCAAATTTTATGTTCGACACAGTGTCATTATCTTTGTCATGTGATGATGAAACATGTCTTGCCTCGCATGTATCATGACGTTGTTTCATACGGCTGGTTACTGTAGTTATTGTTGTTCGAAGCTCCTGTGTGTCCTCAGGCAAATGTGTTGCGTAGTAACACATCCGGCTAAACATTGACATTAATCCAGCATATCGACAAGAAATTGAAATGGTTATTGACGTTTGAGGCACAAAGGTCGGTGGGCAAGCTGATTTTGCAATAATTGTCCATCGCTTTAGAATAGTACTAGGAGGGAACTCTGTCATATGTTTAGTTTTCAAAACTGTAATGATGTGTGAGCAAGGAAGTCCAACAGATTGTAATTTCAGGCAATTGCATTTGATGGTGTGATTCTGATAATCATATATCACATTCCAACTGGATGTTGGTTTTGTGTACTTTGACAGATAATAACTTGAATGAAAATTGTGCTGAATTTTTTGGACCATGAAAAAGAGTCCTTCGGCCTTTATATGATCCCGCACTTTAAAAAAAATTAACCTGGTATACAGTAAGGCAGCGTGCTATTCTAAGTAGCGTACACTGGTGTACTGTTTTTAGAATAATGTTTGTCAAAGGCTTCGGTCTCTCGGATTCTTGAGACACCCTTATCATACTGTATAACAAACTCCTACAAACGAAGCCTTGTTTTCAGGAAATTATTCAAGTAACCATTCAAGCTTTCTGAGCGTTGCGTGATTTTGATGTCGCCAAAGAAATGTCCCCGCAAAAGTGCTTCAACCCATTTCCAACGCTTAGTGTACACATCTGATATCCAGTTGTTATCCTCAAGCCCAAATGAATGTACCATTGATTTCCACATAACGTCAAATTCCTCAGGTGTACATCGGGAGCACATACAGTTCTTGAACTCGCAAAGAAAATTTTCAACATGAATATTTTGAAGCGAATTTCTCTCCAAATGCCAGTTGCATAGTCTGTGTTTTGCATGTGAAAATATTCTTTCGATTGCGGCGGCCATGGCCTTGTCCCTATCGGTGACAACTGAAATAGGCTTTTTATTAGCTATTGCATCCAAAAAATGTCTCCAACACCCACACATATGTGTCCATGGTTTCATATGAAAGTAATGCACCTCCAAAAATGCAAGTAGCGTTGTGGTTGTTTACACCTGCAAGTATGAGAAATGACTTTTTGTACACATTGGTGCGGTATGTTTTATTGAATACCAAAACATCACTGAAACACGAATAGTCAACACGGGAAGTTGAATCTGCCCAAAAGAGGCAATTCAATGAATTATCATCTTCAACGTTGTACCTGGAATAAAATAATGGATCTAACTCCTCTTTCACGCTCAAGTATGCTAGTGCACCTTCAGCATCCCCAGCGATCATTTCCTCTCTTCTTTGGCTTGCAATAGAGTAGTACAAATTCTTTCGCGTAAAGCCAACATTTAGGTAGCTGCCAGCTTGATGCAACATAAAATATCGTATTTGGCTAGTGCATATTCCAACACTGCGAAGTGTTGTTGCTTGCTCTATGTCTGGGCTTTTCACACGGCGGTGGGACCGAAGGAACGACACTTCAATCGGTGGAACCAACGAATGATTATGATCATTCACAAACTCCTTTACTACCCATTTTTCTGACTTTCTGTCATACTTAACGTGGAATACTGCCAAACAACCAACTCGAGTTATTCCCCTTGGTTCCCTGCCCTGTCATTCCGGTCTAAGTATTTTGTAGCTCGAAACCCTTGTTGCGAACATATCCATTTCCTTGACACCGGGACGTGTTTTTTTGTCATATTTTAAGTCATCTTTCCTGACGCTAAAACCTACAAACTTAGCGTATGTGTTATAAAAATTACCCGCTTCAGATTCCGAGTTAAGCTTCATGTGACTGAATTCTTCAGCCGATAAGTCTTGTAAACTTTTTTCCAATTCGACTGCTTTCGATTTACCCTGACGATGCCCATATTCACCATTATATGTGCCAAACTCAAAGATATCACTATCTTCAGGTGCTTCATTCAATTCTATAACGACATGCTTTCCCTTCTCAAAGGTAGTATTTTGCAAAAATTGAAAATTATAGGTTACAGTAATGAGAAAAAATTGTTGTTGGACATATATTTATTAAAATAATTGAATTACTGTAATTAACACATAATCAAACACTATTCTAATGTATTAAAAATAAATGGCATTCATAATAGTTGGTATCATGTATGACATACCTGTGGAATTTCCTCTCCTCTCATGCATATGTAGATATGTAAGGTTCCAAGCATGTGTTGTTGGAGTAGGTTGTGTTCTTGGAGTAGGTTCACGGCAAATACAAAAAATTTGATACCCAAATGATAATTACAAGTAGGTGAGGCACAATAACTTCAGGGTGATATTTGGTTGGTAGTTGTTAATGGTATGTAACAAATTACAATCAAGGTTGCATGTCTTTTCATCAAAATTGTAAACTATATAC